GGTTCAAACCCATCAGCCACTCCTTGGAAGGAAGATGGGGCAATCTACTTCCATAGTGATACTGCCTCAGAAACCCAAGGAGGGGTCGCTATGAGTCGAGTCCAACTCGATAGCACATAACAACAACAACAACATGCTTGACCATACTTCTGTAGTGATACTACCTAGAAACCCAAGGAGGGGTCACTATGAGTAGGGTCCGACTCAACAGCACATACCAAGAACAATAACAGGGACACCTACTATGTATAAGGAAACTTAAAAATAAAATATAATTTAATTTTTTAAACATTGAGAATTTGTCAGAATAAGAAACTGTTAAAGACATACAAGCATAGTAAGTTTGATAAAAAGATAATTCTAGACATATAAAATACAATGATCAAAACTGAAGTAAAAGTTACTTACAGCAGATTACTCACAGCTGAAGTAAGAATTACTAAATTGGAAGATATATGACCAGTAAATATTTAGGAAGAGGCACAGGGGGGTAAAAAAACAAGGATAGAAAAAAACATAGTACCTATACTTATACCTGCTACTGTTAAGTCATTTCCAATTCATAGCAACCCTACAGGACAGAGTAGAACTGTCCCATAGGGTTGCCAATGCTGCAACTCTTTATGGAAGAAGACTCTCACACTGTTCTGTGGAGCATCTAGTGGGTTTGAACCACTGGCCTTTCAGTTAGCAGTTGAATGTTTACCACTGTACCACCAGAGCTTCAAAAATCATGAGATATAGATAGATAGATAGATAGAAAGAAAGATAGATAGATAGATAGGGATAGATCTATCAGACTGTAGATCTATCTAGCTGGAAGTGACTAGATGGCAGGGCGTTTGGTTTTGGTATCTATCACACACACACACACACACACACACACAAACACACATATACAAAAACCAAACCAAACACACTGCCCTCGAGTCAGACCCAACTGATAACGAACCCTCTTTGAGTTTCCAAGGCGGTATCACTATGGAAGTAGATTGACCAACCTTCCTTCCAAGGAGTGGCTGGTAGGTTTGAACTGAGCCTCTGGTAAGCAGTCAAATGCCTTAGGCACTATGCCACCACAGCTCACCATATAACTAAAAAACCAAGCCCACTGCCACTGAGTTGACTCTGCTTCAAAACAACGCCCATAGAGTTTCCAAGGCTATAAATCTTTACACAAGCAGACTGCCTCATTTTTCTCCCATACAGTGGTTAATAGGATTGAACTACCAACCTTTTGGTTGGCAGCCCAATGCCTTGACCACAGTGACAACAGAGCTTGTATATAACTTTTATTTTAAAATTATATAGCACATACATAAGTGAAGTTTCAAAGGAAATGAGATAATAGGACAGAAGTTATATTTGAATATAAAAATTACAGAAGAGAATTTTCCAAAAGCAATTAAACATAATTAGCAACATATTCAAAATGTCATTGAAATCCAAACGAGGCTAAATAAAAAGAAATTTACATTTAAGCACATTATAGTACAACTGCTGTAAATTAACCACAAAGAGAAAATAATCTTAGAAACATCTGGGGTTGGGAGCATGGTGTATGTATGCATATATATTAACCTCAAAAATATGAATGACAATTGACAGGTTAACAAAAACTAAGGAAATGAGAAGACAACAGAACAATATTTTTAAAGAAATATTTTGAAAGAAAAACAATGGTCAACTGGCGATGCGTTTCCAGAGAAAACAACATCAAAGAAGGGGTGAAAAAATAATTTTTGGATAAACAAAAAGTAAGATAATTCATCACAAGCAGACTGCTCCACAAAATTATCTCAAGACTGTCCTTCAGCATGTGGCTGCCATTTTGGATATTTAAAGTGACAAAGGGCACAGCCTCTTTGAATCTTTACAAGTGGCGGCCATTTTAGATATTTAAAGTGACCGAGGGCACAGCCATTATGAATGTTTATAAGCGGCCGCCATTTTGGATATTTAAAGTAACCAAGAGCGCAGCCATTTTGAATCTTTACAAGCGGTGGCCATTTTGAATATTTAAAGTGACCAAGGGTGCAGCCATTTTGAAACTTTACAAGTGGCAACCATTTTGGATTTTAAAGTGATAGCACTCTCATTTGAATTCCAGGGACCTAAGAACAGGCCCCGTTTGCCAGGGTTGGCAAGGACATAGGAGAAGCAGACAACAGGAAAGGAGACAGTTGGTGAGTATATAAGTGCTGTAAATTAATGAATAGAGGAGCACAGTATCCTGCCTATATACATAACATACAAACAAAAAAAAAGAAAAGGAAAATTGTGAGAAAGGCACTCCAACAAAAAGTCACCAATGAAATATAAACACAAAAAGTCACAATGCCTCAGAGACAACACAGCATCAGAGTCCACACAAAGAAGCAAGATAAAGCAGGAGAAACAAGGGACCAGGATACAGACCCAAAACACCTGAGGAGAGGCAGCACTGGAACTCCCTGATAAGGAATTCAAAACAATTATATTTAGGTATTTTCAAAGGATTGAGAGACAGACCAAGGACAACACAGAGAAACATCTAGAAGAATTTCAGAAGAATATACAAGAACAAAATGACAAAATAAATGAAAAATTAGAAATGACTCAAAATCTACACAGAGAAATCCAGATGATTAATACTAAATTGTCAGAAATAGATAACACATTGAAAGGGCAAAGGAGTAGAATGGATGCAATGGAAGACAGAATTAATGAGATTGAAGACAAATACCTGAATACTTTTTGGAAAGGGATCAATCAGAAAAAA